TTGCCCCATCATTGATATTTTTAACAGTTAAGAAAAGATTAATTAAGGGTAAATAGATAATTCTAAATAGAAATTAAATGTATAAATAGACTTAACTTTCTCTCCTGTTTTGGATATCTTCTCTTAAGAGCATTGAATGAGAGTTGAATTCCTTGAATATTATTAATAAAGATACCGATCCCTTTCCAAATTAAATATTGTTTGTTATAAATTTGTTAGATCAACATTCGTAAATCCTCTGTAAAACATATCTTACCGCCTTCAAGCTTCCGCAAAATAATCATAACTGAATTTACTTATATGAATTATGAGGAATACAACTCTAACACTCCTGAAGAAAGAAATGAAGATATTTTCATTGTTGATCAAATTGCCCTTGCAAATGCTCGAGCCTTACTAAACGATGATGATGACAATGATAATATGAATTGGAATGAGGTTGAACCTGAAGATTTTGACTCTTATAGTAATTCCTTTCAAACAATACATGATGACATAGACGTAGAAATTGAAAGGATCTTCATGCAAAGTCTAAATTTAACACCATGTGTAATCATAGATACTATTCAAGGTAAAATAAAACGTTGTAATAGTACAGCAAATCTCTGACGATTGGAACAAATGATAGGGACATGGGAGATAGATGCAGATGCAGTTGAAGATGTTAAGAGTAATCTTAATCAGCTTGGAGTATGTTATTATCATTTTCTTTTTGATCAAAACCAACTTCATGATAAAGGCATGAAACAATCACATTCAATTGAACAGAGCATTGTTCATTTTTGCTTCTGCATTTTTTGTAATAAGAAAAAATGTTTTTTCAGCCGTGGTAATAGCTGTGAGAAGCCTTCATAGAGCATCAATAAGCGTAATATTCAAGTACCCTGTGTTGGTGTTTATAACTGTTCTGCATTTACTGAGGGATCTATTGCAAAAAAGTCATCTTCAGGCTATCGTGCACATTATATCTGCTCAGAATGCTTTCAACAACAGGACGGACATTTGTATAAAAGACTAGGTAAAGGTCAAAAAATCGTATCATGTACTGAACGTGGGAAACATTGTGATGATACAAGTGACGCTCTAAAACATATCGGAAGATGGGTAATATCCATAGCAGAGTCAGGTAATAATAAGTTGCAAGAAAGACTTCTATCTCTAATAACTCCAACATTAGCTGTTTTTAACAATGAGACAATGGAGGAAAACCTATCAGAAATGGAAGCGGAAAAACTTCCAAGTAAATTACTTGTTAGAACAGCATTAAGAATGGGAAAAGTTGAATCAAATAAGTTAAAAAAGGAAAGGTCTCATATAGTAACTTTGGAAAAGGCTTCAATGATAGGAGAAAAATTAGAAAGAGAAGTTTTATTTTCACGTTCTGAAATTCAACAAAATATTAGTCAATTAGAAAACCTGAATTCATATGAAAGTTATTTCAATGCATTACCCAAAATTATTTGCAGTTTCTTTCAAACCCTCATCACAGTACTACAACAACAAAAACAAAATGTTGTTAATAAAAAGAGGCTTCAACGTGGACTTCCTTCAAAATCATTCAATACAAGTCAAATATCAAAAACAACCGCTTTATTAACCTCCATGCTACTAACCATCGCTTTCCCTGGAATAAAAATCTGGCTTTCCCACATGATATTATCAATATGCCAAAAGCTAAAATTGCTACCATACTTACAAGAGATCCTTCATTCAGCTTGCATCATATCTTACACTAAGCGGCATGAAAATCGTCTTGAAAAATTTAGAATGCATCATACAGACCCTAGAGAGAATTTGATCGAAGGATCAAATATTTGGAATTTGGCAGTAATTGACAATATCGATTTTAAAGCTTCTACGTTCTCATATGGCAATATTTTTGACGTTACATAACAAACTTTACATACAACATTACGGATGGTATTTCAGTTTACTATTCCAACTTCTTTTGATGACCTAATTGGAGACCATGAATCTGTTAATCAATCACTATTCAGGGAGTCTTCAACTACCGATGACCTTTTAATGATATATGAGAATATTTTAAATACAATGTTAGAGACTCGTGTAAATGAATTTGATATGGAAGATGTATACTCAGAAATCACTAAGCAAGTATCTATAGATTGCAATACTTTACCACTAAATGTTGTGATATTAGAACCCGGTAATCCACCCAACTGCAATGAAAATGTTCATGCAGTATGTGAAATGTACTATAATGATTTACCTCATGATAATAATAACGATCTATATATTGCATGTGACCAAGCAATTTTTGGGAGATTAATCTCCTATAAGGAAATTTACGAAGATGTTTGACTCCTTTTGGGACAGTGGTATACATCTAAAGATATGTGTAGCATCCTAATTATAATATTCTCAGGATATGAAATATTCAACCTTGCGGCATCTCTTGGTATACGATACTTAGATAAACTTGAATGTGTCGTGGATTACCGGGCAACATATTGCGTATTGGAATTAATCTGGATCGCAGTCGGGATTGCATTGTGTCAGCATGTAAAAAACAAAGGAGAAACCATGAATGACATTTTGAAAAGTGATAATCAATTCATAAAAGTATGGTATCTCTTTTTCTGTTGGACGGGATACTTTGTGGGTCATAAAATTGGAATTAGAAGAGGAAATTACAGGATGCAAATGTCAAATTTGGCTGCGTTTGCACCTCTCTTCCCTGCAGCTGGAAAGTTTAAGTACGCAAGTTCTGTAACACACTTTTTGGCTCAAGTTCATGATGATCCACAATTACAGAAATTATTACAAACGGTATGCTCAGTAAACCTTAGAAGCGAAGGACATTATTTAGCTTTTGATGAAGTACTTGAAACGTATAGCGTAAAGTTCATAAAGCAAAATATTACTGGAAATCTTACTGACCAGCCGACCATGATGTTAACAGTTAAAGCAGCCCAAAGTGAGAGGAATCGTTTATCAATGCTTCTTGCAGAATACACTGATGATGTTGTAGCAAGCCAGAATGCTCGTGCAATCAAGTCACGTAAAGATTTACTCTGGTCTTTGGTTACAAAGTTATTGTCCGCCTTTGATCATCCAAATCTTGCAACACACTATTTGTTTAAAAATGCGTCAGAAATTAATGAAAAGGGCATTAAAATATTCTTTCTTTTTATGAATCTGGTAAATCACGCTTTCAACAAATTCTTTTGCAGGATGTATATAAAACTGAATCCTGAGTAACTGCTGGACGTCGTGCATAAGATATAAGTCATTATACTTATACTCAACTTGAGAGTATAAAGAAACAAAAAAGTAGACAAGTAGATGATCCTACTCACTTATCAATTATTCAACAGTCTACTTCATCAGCATCACAACAGGTATTATTACCCTCTGAGATTAACCATCCAAGAAAGATACGTCGCACTACTACAAATGCAGAAAAAGGTATACTTGCCCAATTGTTTGAATTTGA